CAGACTTCCAACCATAAATCTAAAAATGCCCCCCCCCCCCAACATATTATGCGATACGATGCTACAGGGGTTAAACGACATGGCGAAAGCAAATTTACCTATAGCATTTACTCGAGTGGAAAAAAGTGCAGAGAATTGTAACCATTTTGCTGTTGGGTTGGTGCATGTTCATTATTTTTAAAATTGTAAAGCGAAGACAAAAATATTGCCCGAGTGTGAAGAAAATTTTTTTTAATAAATCAGAGACATCGAAACGAAAGATTAATTTAATAAGCAAACAGTGATTAACAAACGACTCAGATATTCCGATCGTACAGTGTATAATAAATCTGTGAATTACCCTCGTAGCGACTGCTGTTTAGCTCGATGACGGTTGTGCAATTTTTTTGGGTTTTGGCATATTCGAAACTTTTCTAAAGTTGTTCTGAATAAACTGAAGCACAATCCATTGTTGCTCGACACCGAATCTATGCGCTCTAAATTTAATTTTTAAAATTAACAAATTTAAACATTACAAGCGACAAGCAAACGCCGTCCATGCGAAGCGTGCAAGCACGCAGAATAGGAAGATACGAGGCCTGCAGCTGTCTTAAGAATAGGCGTTGAAAATCGAGAGTTTCCAGAGGCAGTCACTAAAGAAGAGCATCAGGGGTCATGTCATGTACAAGCTAGGAAAAGTAGAGGGGCAAGCGCTGTTTAAAGAATTCGCAGTCAGTTCGTCCATTTGTCGGTCGGTCAACAGCTGCTTCTCAAAGTTCAAAAACTAAAGCAGCATAGAGCGTGGTCAGTGTCCGTCTCGGTGGTACTAGTCACAGCAGCAGCAGCAAATGGTAAGTTGCAGTCAGATTAGGTCTACATAGATGACCGGTGCAAAGCAACAACAACAGTGGTAATCACAACAGTTTCGGTCTCAAGCGATTCGTTGCTGATGACTACTGAAAATGACCGCCTCACGCGAAAGATGGTCTTCGGCCAAAACTTCGATAAATAATAACAAGAATAACAGCCAAACTTCATATTAAGCTGCTGAAGCTAATAACATTGCGAGTGACCGGTCGTAGCCTGTTACGTTGCCGCCATCAAAGGCACCGCGACGCTTTCAGACCCGATTTGGGTCACTTACGTTTGCAGCCGTCAACTTAGCCCTCAGTCGTGCAACCTCGGCCAGTAGCTGGTCATTCTGCGTCGTCAAGTCGGTCAGCGACTGCTTAAGCAAATCGACCCTGCGCCGCAAGCTCACGTTCTCCTCCAGCAGTGCTGCATAGCTATCCGAAGTATCATGACCGCTGCCAACGCTGCCTCCCAGTGAAGATACAACGGTGAAAGCCGGAAAAGCGCCGCCGTTATAGCTGTATGGACGCAAACGCTTGCGGTTGCCTAATGCAGGTGAAGGGGGACAGCGGTATTCACCGAAATAACCATAAACGAAATTTGAGTAAGGCGGAGCAGCCACTGGTGCCGCCGCTGTCGGCCTCAGATACACTTGCTGATGAACATCGTCACTCAACGCCGAGGAGTGCAGTGAAGAACAAGGAGTACACAATGAACGCTGCAGCAGCACCTCACGCTCGTGCCTCGGGTTGATGTGCCAAAAGCGGCAGCGCGACCCACGAGAGCAGTGCCCTGACAAATATTCCTTGCATAGTGGCCTTCCGTCGACAATTTCCTGACCAGTGGCAGCGACGATAGCCCTTGCAAGCGACTCGGTCACTTTGCCATGCCGCTCGTACTCTTCCTTGTCTTCCGAGCAACAATGAACGTACTTGCACAACTCGCGTGGACAGCC